CTTTATTATTATTGGCATTATAAAACTTTGTCAATCAGTTAAAACATGATGCACCTACAAATGACACTAATTTTCTCCTTGAAATAAAAGTGTCCTGTACATCCAAATTCTGCCATAGTAACAAGAAATCATTACTCCTGAATTGTCAGTTACCCAAGGTGTATAGAATTATTGCAGAAAAATAATATTTCTTTATGGTGGATATCAATCTAATTATGTGGGTTACAGCAGTTGGGGAAATAAGTAAACGTCCTGAAATCTCCTAAAGTCCTGGTGGCAATATTTGAATATCCTCTGCAATTTGAGAATGGCCATTATGGACGTTTATAAACATTTACCTGCATTAAAGCAACAGGGAAGCTGACAATAGGGAAGAGGGATTTTTTAGTAAGCTCTTTTGTAAGGGTAGTAGCAGTTAGTGACCATAGTGATGTTAGTTTGTTAGTGATGTTAAATAAATAATTTCCCTTTTGGAAGGGGGCGGGAGGGTCTGGTGCGATGCAGCATTAATTTGCAGACCCGGTAGTAAGTAGTTTGAGAGGCTTCCAGGTAGAGATGGTGGTGGTCCCCCTGCTTTACCTTACAATTATGGACAAGCAGCTATTGTTTGCTTTGCTGTTGTGAACAGGGGGACTATTATTATTATTATTACATAGTATTTATATAGCGCCAACAGTTTGCGCAGCGCTTTACAATATAAGGAAGACATTACAGTTACAATACAATTCAAGACAAGATGGTAAGGAGGGCCCTGCCCCTGAGGGCTTACAATCTAAAAGAGGAGGGGGAAATGATACATGAGGTAGCTGTGGGAATGAATTATGTGAGAATGTGAAGGTTCAGTGGTTAGGTTGCGGTGGGATAGGCTTCCCTGAAGAGATGAGTCTTTAGGGAACGCCTAAAGGCAGTCAAGGTGGGAGATAGACGGACAGGTTGGGGTAAAGAGTTCCAGAGGATGGGAGAGACTCTAGAGAAGTTCTGGAGGCGAGTATGGGAGGAGTGGACAAGGGAGCTGGAAAGCAGGAGGTCAATGGATGAGCGGAGGGGACGGTTAGGGTGATACTTTGAGACAAGGTCTGAGATATATCCGGGGGCGGAGTTGTGGATGGCTTTATACAGTATGTGACTGTTAATATTTTGAATTTTATCCTCTGGGCGAGTGGAAGCCAGTGGAGGGATTGGCAGAGGGGGGATGCAGACACTGAGCGGTTGGTAAGGTGAATGAGTCTGTGGGCTGCATTCATGATAGACTGAAGGGGGATATCCTGTGTAGTGGAAGGCCAATGAGGAGGGACTACTGAGAAAAGTGATGTTGAGAAACATGGATGGACTAGAGTTGCGCATTTACATTGTCACGTCCACACCCAGAACTCCCAGAGCTGGATCTGTCCTGACAACCTGAGAGAGACATGTTTAGTGTGGCTGGTGTCAGAGTTGCCAACTTGTCAAATAATCCTGTAAGTGCATCTCATGTGACCGAATAAGCAGTAGCCTAACATTCCTGCCAACAGCAATGCTCAAAGCTTTATAGAGACTCACTAAAAGTGTATTTTAAAATGTTATACCTGGAAAGAAGCATAAGGATACTTACCTGTCTTGCTGCCTGCACCGCCAAACATAATTCAGCCAAAAAATGGTTTTCAGGAAACTTGACACTTACATGAGTGTTGACCTCCTATGCCCCCAACTATGCTAAATGGTTCCTTACCTAACACAGTAGTGACAGAGAGGTTGACGGGAGGAATCAGTCAGTGCTGCAGGAGGTACAATCTTTGTGGTGTGCTGTGATGTGGTGATCTGCAGTGTGACACAGTGGGCTGCGAAAAAATACAGAAGTGCGCACCGCATGTCATACCTGCGTTGTGGTGTAAACATGGCATGCACAAGACAATTGTTTTCTATGTGCCCTAGTGGTGACTGGCATTGTTCAGTTGCTGAAAGACACCAGTCAATGCATATAGTGTGAATGGGCCCTCAATGGTATATTTGATAGATCAAGTGGAAGCAAATAATAGACGTTCATGGGTAGGGTTTACATACCCTTTAATTTCTGAGGGGAGTTGTAGAGATGCTGTAAATAGTGAAAAGATTAGACTCATAATGCAGTCTTACATTTATTTACCCATCTTCCATTCCACATAAGCGTTCGAAATTACCCCATGTGCCATTTTGAAATAAAAGAGAAAAAAACAATATGAACTTGAAAAAAGGCTTTGCTTTTTTTTTCTTCAGACCATTAAACCCATATCTTTTGTCACACCGTGTTTCCATCTACTTAGCCTTATAACTAACTGAAGTTTCTCAGAATGTTGGAGAATAATGGTTGTATGTTGTATACTCAAGTTGTATTTGATTTATTTATTTTTCACTTCCAGGATGAATTCCACACACGTCTGCGATTTATTCGGAGAGGGCTGGTTGCCATGGCGAATGCTGGACCTCATGACAATGGCAGCCAATTTTTCTTTACACTTGGCCGTGCTGATGAGCTTAATAACAAACATACTATATTTGGGAAGGTTAGAAGGCGGCCTGATGGAGTCTGTTCTCTGTTCTGTTTTTTTATGCACTTTCTTTGTACTGGAGCAAAAAACGTATATAGTTTTATATAGTTTAAAATACGAGTGAGATTCAAAAAGTAAAGGCAAAATACATTTAACAGCTTTAATAGAAGTACCTGTGAACGCTTGAACATTTCACTCTTCCACATAATCCCCATGTAAGATGATGCACTTGTTATATTGTTCAACTAGCTTCTGTATTCCTACAGAGAAGAAGCTTTTTAATTGCTGCTGAAGCCAGGTGTGCACCGCTTCCTTGACTTCATTATCTGAGGTGAACCTGCGAACCGCAGAGCGCCTCCTTTCGTTTGCTCTCCAGCTCGTAATGGTGCACCCATGTCTTGTTGCCGGTGACAATTCTTTCCAGAATACTCTGGTCTTCTTCATACAGTCTCAAGAACTGGGTCGCAACCTCCACGCAATTTAAACCTTTCTACCCACTCAAACTTTTTGTTGATTCATGGTGCTATAACCATACTGAACCAACACCCGATGGTGAATTTCCACTGGTTTTACTCCCTCTGCCCAAAGAAAGTGCCCTATGGCACACTGTTCTTTGATAGTGCAGTCTCGCAACAGAGCGTTCATGCTTTTGTCCACTTGACTACCACTCAACTAAAGTCCAAGTGCTGTCCTGCGCATGGTCGAACTATCCAACAGGCTATGTAAATATGCGGCATTGTGCAAGCTTCTCTCTGTTCTGGTTACCACGTAATTTATAAATTGCCTTTACTTTTTGATTCTTGTGAAAGTGTGTATAAATAATTTATTTATAT